ATCTTGTATTTAGCTCTCATATTTAAGTCTTTCCGAAATATTGCTTTACAGTTTGCATTTCCCTCCTCAAAAACCTTCAGTGCAAATTCCTGAGTTCAGCATTCAAAGCTTTCCACAATTTGGTACCTACTTATTTCTCCGATGTTATTTCTCATTACTTACTTGCATAGACTCTCTTCTCTAGTCAAACTAGTCCCATACAGGGTATATTCCCACTTGCTGTACCTTGAACTTGTCCCAAATGAATTCCTTCCACCTCCTTCTCATATCTCAGTCTTGCTCTTCTTTGGGGCCTCCTCCCTGACTACCCTAGATTTTATAATTATTCCTTCTGCTAAACTTGGGCAGTATATATTATTTATCTACATGGGCTCCTTTGAGTAACTAGCATATGGTACCTCGTAATACCTTTTTATTAATCCTAATAATAAACTAATTTATCAATCCTAATCACATTTCTCTGGAGGAAGGGGAAGTATTCATTTTCCCATATTACAGGTGAAGAAACTGGGGTTCAGGGAGCTTTCTGTCATGCAAAGTCATGTACCTCCTAAGTGGAAGTCAGGATTCAAACCCATGTCTTTTGATGATAATTCTAGTGTTCTGCTCATTTTACCATAATTGCCTCCTTTTTATAATAACAATCTTACATTTATTTATATAATGCTTTAAGGTTTGCATGTTATTTACACCACAACAATGCTCAGGCAGGTGGGGTGTGTCCCATCTCCCGAACTAGTTCTTTGTGGGCAATGACTATATGTATGTTCCCAGCCTGTAACAGAGGAGTACACATAGTAGGTACTCCATGGATAGTCATGGTTGTTAGCTTGACTATAACAGGCAAAGAAGGCTCTGGAAAACATTTATTTGTTTATTTTTTATATGTCACTTGACCTGACAAAGAATTTGACCTTTTTTTTCCCCTCTTATTTTTGAAAGGAAAAATATTTTAGCCATAATTGAAATAAAAATATAATGGAACCCAGGAACTGGCCACTGATGTATATTCTTATTTTCAAGTGGCTGCTTGTAGGTTTGAGTTTAGGGTAATAGCCAAATGTATTTTTATACAGACATGAGCAAATTAATAAGAACTCAGGTCACCAATGCCACCAGTGAGGGTGGATGTCAGGAGGCCCTGGAGAACTTCTCACTTTTAGTCAAATGGTTACCTCTTCCTTCTGCCTTGTCTGGGGCCTCATTTTCCTCCGTTAAATCATGAGGCCAAGCCAAAAGATGATCTCTAAGGTCCTATCCGCTTTAAATAACTTATGATACTTTGAACCCTTATGTGCTCTGGGTGAGGTTGAGGGAGAGAAAGAATCAGACTATCAGGGGCAAATTTCAAAGGGGTCAGTTTAATGGGGGTACTTCTAGTGCTGGGTGGGTGGATTAAGGAGGTCTATTGATTTCTCACATGATGTCACTACAGGAATGAGATTAGAGATAGAACTCATTTCTCTCCACTAAGAAAAGTGTGGGTGAGTTTGAAGACTGTGGGAAAGACATCATTTAGCATAATCCAGATTTGATTTTTAAAGGGCTGGAGGGGTGACAGGCTAGATAGTAGCATACAGGTCATGACATTTCCATACATGGTCTCTGCTGGTGCCAGATCCCTTCTGTAGGCCTATAGAATACAGTGCAAACTCTCTACAGAAAGGAGAGGTACTGGATCAGTGACTTCATTGCTCTAGGTAAGGACCCCCTCTATCAATGCACAATTATACTACACAGTTACACTACATTACACAATTCTGTGACTTGTCCAGTCACATAGCATGAGTTGGAGGAGGTGGCCTTAGGACCAGCTCTCTATCCACTGCCATATTGCCTCTTTTCAGAAGATCAAGGCTAAATGGATTTTTATAATCACTAACCTGCATTGGTTCTCAAATTCAGGGAGGGACAGCATTTGGAGCATTGCTAGAGGGAATTCCTAGATGAAGAAACTCTTTCTGCCATTGCACATCAGCACCTACCCTATAAACACAGTCTTTGAGAGTCACTCTGAGCACAGAGAGGTTACAAGGTTATATGACTTGCCTGGAGTCAAACTGCCAGAAGGTATCGGATGTTGGATGTAAATGAGATCTTCTTGGCTCTAAGGCCAGTTTTCCACCCACATACATTTCCATTTATTTTTCTCCCTGAAGAATCTAAGAAAGGGGGTGTCAGCAAATGAATTGGGTAACTAATAAAATGTAGAACAATCGAGAATCGCATAAAGATCAGCTGTCACTCCTTACCCCTCCCTCACCTAGCGCCTCAGCATCAGATTCATTCTTCCTCCTGTTTTACTCACATCTTTAGTTATTGGATTAAAAAAATTAAAGGTGCTTGAAAATGAAATGCCTCACTCTGAGGAATGTGAACCATTTATGCCCTGGATTACATGAGGGTGGAGAAGGCCAGGCAAGGAACAGACTTGTTAACTTGGGGCCAATGAATAGGTTTCAATCAGCTAACAATTTGGAGGAATGAGCTAAACACACTTTCTAAACACTCCCGGTGGGTCGCCTCCACTGTACAAAGGACTTGACTTTCTCTAGAGAACGTGTGACAGGTGAGGTTAAATACTGTCCTCATCTGGGCTCTGCTTGATTTAAATAAGGAAGGAGGAAGTAGATAAGAGCTCTATGTAATGATCTTGTCATCCATCCCAGTGTGGTGTGTTAGTGAGGTCAAACTCAGAAACACATATTGACTTCGAAAACCACAAATTAAAACTATCTAGGTTGTATTGCATTTTTGTCTTGTTAAACATTTTACAATGACATACATTAATCTGATTTGGGCTTGTGGTCAGCTGGCCTGGTATTATCAAATACCTCTGATATAGAGGAAAGAGCCCTGAATTTGGTGTCGAAAACCCAGGTATGAATCCCAGATAATAACCTGTGTGACTTTGAACAAATCATTTACCCTTTCTGGATTTTGTTCCTATTGTCTATACGAGATGGAAGAGAGTGAAAGGGAAATCATCTCACTCAGAAGCCCCAACACAACTTAAACTGGAATCCTTCTTTTTAAAGCTAGAGGGACTGAAACATTTACCAAGCACTCATGTTCACTGCCTTTTGGTAGGAAGCGGGGTTACCATCTCTGAAAGAGATCATTAGGGGAGCTTCACTGTTTTACACCCCACACACCTCTTTCTTCCACTTACCCTGTTTGTTCAAGCTCTCTCTTAGGAAAGAATCTCCCCCCCCAAAAAACAAACAAAACATAGTGACTACTTCTTACACCCTGATCTGCATCAATACATTTAAAACCTTCCAATGAAAAGATCTGTTGGTAGATACTGTGCATCCAATTAATACTGTAAGTGGATGACTGGCCCTTGACACCTCTCACTCCCCCAAACCCCACCCTACCCAAGTAGCACAAATTCTTTGAGTAAGTATAAATGTACAAAGTGTGACAAGGGCCTGTGAGAATAATTAGGATGCACCTGGAGATGTTTAGTTTGCAGAAGGGAAGTCTTAGGTGACACATGATCCCTTTCTCAGAAGAGCAAAGAGACTTGTCCTGTTTGGCTTGAGAGCAGAATAGCTTGTTGCAAGGGAAAAATGTGAAATAATCGAGCAATTTAAGGCTGGAATAAGCTCTTGGAGGAAAATAATACATTTATTTCTCCCACTGGATGTCTTTAAAGGAAGGCTGGGTAAACTCTAGGAGATATCATAGAGAGGAATTCTCAGAGAGGTACGGATTAACTAGAGGAGTTCTGAAGCTCTATCCCTGAGCCTTTGTGACTCTTTTACTTGGAATTGTTTGGAGAACCCTAGCTTACCTGAGAATGCTTGGGGACTTGGAGGTTCTGTAATTTTGTTGGTGTGGGTATTCCTTCTATAGATGAATTCACACAGTAGTTCCAAATCGATCAGCAAACATTTACCAAGCATCTCCTATCATGCTAAGCACCAGGGATACAAAAACAAACCTGAGAGTCCCTGCCCTTGAGGAACTTACACTCTAGTGAAGGGAGATAGTAGGTTCGTAGGGATATAGCAAAACTTATACAAGGTAATTTTGGGGGAAGGCACTGTCACGGGGAGGGGGTGACCATCAGGAAAGGCTTCATGTGGAAGGTGGCATTTGATCTGTGCCTTGAAGGAAGCTGGGGATTCTGGGAAATGGGAGGTGAAGGGGACAGGACACGCAAGGAATGGAGATGGAAGACATGAGTACAGCGTATAGAGACCAGTAAGAAGTTTGGTAGGATGTAGAATGAGTGAAATGGATTGTGTAATAAGATCGAAAAGGTAAAGAGATGACCTTCCCGAGTTGTTGTGCCCTCTGAACTCATCAGCGATGGTCAGCCTTCTGGTGGATGTGCCTTTCTGAACTTGGGTTGGTGCTGTAACAAGTGAGGGGCCAGGGAGGTTAACATGTAACCTCCCATATTTGAAGTCCAGAGCTTGGCAGGAAGGACCTACTTGAACTTGTGCTCATAGGTTTCAAGAACCTAGGGTTAACTCCACTTCATGATGAAGCATTTGGGTAGGACTTCAGTGGAGGCATTTAAGAATAAGATCTATTATTTTCATGACCATTTCTTAGTTACAAGAATGTTCTAAAATATATCATAATGATTTAATACAAAATAAAGATTGTCTGGTTTCCCCCTCAATACCTTGATATAAGGTGCTGGGTAAAAGGAAGAACCATGAAAAGTTACTTTTCATGCTTTATCTTGATGACAAATAGAAATGGAATGAAAACCATTAAAACAACGATTTTTAAGACTGCTCACTGTTATTATATAAACAAATAATACACCTGTGGGCTACATGAAGCTTTTTTTAAAATTTTATTTTTAGAACATATCTTAATAATGCCAGAAAAATAACAGCCATTATTTCCACCACTTTAAATGCAAACCCAATACTGCTGCAGACATAGAATACAAATATTACCTATAGGCATGATTAGGTACATAGGCCATATTAAGACATGCCAGTTTGGAGATCATCACATTGTTCTACATCAGGTTAGGTCCGACAGCTTTTTTTTTTTTTTGTCTTCTTTTCACTAGCGTTGCTAATAACCATGCCATTAAAAAAGGGCAAACACACATATCTACACAAATGCTTCTTGACTTAAATTTGCACAAGTCCCTTGAACGAAAGAAAAAGGCTTGTTCTCCGGTAGGCTTACCAGATATTTGCACCCCAGGTATTCCCTGCCCCCAAATGCTGACTTGCTTTGAAAAAAAAATTCCAGATGTTCTGAATAAAAGGCACATTTGGCAGCTACGGAAAGTGGCATGCATCTTGCACAGGCTCTGCCTCCACGCAGTCATACAAGCCCGTGATGTCCTGTCCGCCATTTGTCCCGGTTTACTGAGGGACAGGCCGGGGGCTGCCCTTAAGAGTTCACCTTTGCAATTTCCCAGAAGTTGGCTACTTAATGCACTATTTTCATTAAAGGCAAAAGGGGAATTTGCTCACAGTTGACAGAAAATGCACTTTAAGGTGTCAAAAATGGAAAATAAGGCATGAAACTTACAAACCAAGGTACAAGTGCTTTTGGGTGTTACATTTTCTTCTGTACGAGCCACATGATTCTTTTTTAAGACCTAAAATGACTTCTTCATGGCCCATGTTTCAAGCATTTTGAAATGATTCTAACAGTTCGAAAAGTGATACTTAAAAAGCGAAAAATATCAAGAAATACATCGACTTACACATACCACTCCTCCCCCACCTTCTTTCTTTAAAAAAAAAAAAAAGAAGATGTAGCATAACTCTCCCTTTCTCCTGAAACCAATGTAAGGGGAGAGATGAGAAGAGACATGAAGGCTAAAAAGTGTAAGTGAACCATTCACAGCAGCAGAATACCTCAGAACAAATGTTCACTTTTGTTCCTTTGTGATTATGAAAGAATACAGTTTCCCAAATGAGTACAGTTGGAATAAACCCAATACTTTTGATAGAGTCACTGGGATGAATTATAATTGCACTGATGAGAAATACCTAGTTAAAGTAGGATCAGCTTCCCAAGGGCAGCAAGATGCCAGTGATCATACATCCCAATTGTATTTGATGGCGTAACATCATTTTCCATTTATGAAAACAACAACAACAACAACAACAAGCACAACTGGAGTTGTGTTTGTTCATGGGACCATTCTGGTAGGGCATATTCTTTCCAAAAGAGAATCAGTAAAACACCCAAGTTACTAGATGCACCATAATTTACCAACACAATAATTTCTTGTCTGACAACCCCAAATTATGTAAATCTTTGTTCCTTTATATTTCCTGGGAGTGTGTTCTTGAGAAAAAAAATGTGGAATTAATATTGAATTTGCCAATGCATTCAGAAATCTATGATTTTCATATATTTGTATATTCAAAAGCATATAGACAATGGTTTTTAAAAACAAATGTAATCTCATTATGCTGGACGGATGTCAGCCTATCAAAGATAAAATGAAATTTAAAGATTTGGTTGCACTGTTTCCCTGTTGAAGGTCAATGAAACATATGCAGGCAGGCTTTTTTTCTTTTTTTTTTCTGCTGGAAAAAAGAATGCTCCATATTTTAAAATAAGGTTTGGAAGATTGATGCTCTCCCAGAAAGCATATAATGGATTTGTAATTCTGGATCTGCAATGTACAGCCTGTGGTGCTGCATTACTCTGTTCAGAGATGCTTCTTTCTAGATCACTCATTGTTTATAAGTTACTAAAGGTAATCCCATTAGCTGTTTGTGTCATTACCCTCACCTAAGGATATCCAGTTGGAACGCTGCACACCATTCTGAATTTTCATGTGAAATGATAATGCACCAAACCACTATTAGAGCATTACCCTTCTGACATCTCTTAACCTCAGATCAATACTTTCGTTTTTCAAAAGGCAAGGTGGTGTGAGGGTTTACACTGCCTTGTTCAAAATGAATACCCACTGTATTCATCACTGGTGTGGATGGGCCCCAGAGTGACTCTTCTTAATGTCTAATGGGGAACGGGGTACTTGGGAAAAGAGGAAGGAAAGAAGGATGACAGCAAGAGAGAGAAGTGTGGTTCAAAATAATGAGAGCTTCTGGATATGTACTCCTTACCTGAACTGGTGTGAATATAGGTTCCCTAACCTCTTTCCCCCCAATGAAAGAGAGCTCTTTCTGAAAGGGAAAAAATATGTATATTATAAAAAAAATAATACTGATTGTTTCATAAAAACCAGATTTTGGGGGGGAAAGTACCATCTATATCCAAACCAATCAATTACCCACTTATTAATAGAATAATGCTTGAAGCCACAATAATCACTTTGCTGTGGGCTAATGGACAGTCTGTACCCAAGATGAGCTTGCGACTCAATTTTTAAGGGGATTTTTTTAAAAGAAAAAATAAGTTACATTTTAAAAAGAGAAAAACAATTAGTCAAATAGGAATGTTACACTCATTAAACAAAAGGGATTCAACTCTAACAATTGGACATGATCTACCTATGATAGGATGTGTTGCTTAATGATGACAGAATTAATTTTCTGGAATTTAAAAAATTGTATGATCATGGTATACATACTGTACTGGTCTAATGAACACCATAAAAATTATTAAAAGAGTATATTTCCACCATGATGTATCACTGTCAAAAATGTCCCCACTGGCATAGTCAACAGTGTTGCTGAAATGTTGCTTCATTTAGCCACAGATGAAACATGCAGATACTAATGAATTCATGACTCACTAAATAAGGATGAAATACTGCACATTTCATAGACGTTGTATTGGAGATTAATAAAGCTGCTTCTTTTTTTAAAATCAATATCTGGCATGCATTACCGTCACAGTATTTGTTAGAATCAGAAAAGCAGTCCACAGGTTTAATGGATAAGCCATAGTATGATAACTAATGATGAGGGTAGATGTTGTCTCATATATAGTCTTGATATATCAAAACACCTTAAGAAAGGTAGAATGTTTAAGACAAACTTTAACAAACTGCATACATGGTGCCTGGAAAATGTTAAAACTTACAAAGTTCCCCTTAAAAGTTACAATCATCTTATTCCAACCAAACATTTCTTCAGGTGCCAAACTCTAGCTTCTCTTTAGACAGATCTTTTACTATTAAAAACAGACAGCCTGCATTAGAAATAAAGGCGTACCACATGTGCTTTTAGCTGCTTTTAGTGTTTTGCTTTTCAACAGAGAGAAATAAGAAGTATTTGTCAATATAATAATTTAATGTATGACAGCCAAATGAAATATCTGCATCTTTATTTCAATTAAATTAAAATGAACCTGCCAAGTATATTTATGTAACATTCACTATATACACATGATTGAAGCAACTGCAAGGTAATCTCGATATGCCGATTCCTCAGCTGTTAATCCAACATGACACTTGTCATCGATGCCCAGCAAGTGTTCCTTTTCACATTGAGTGCCTGCATTTCCATGGCTTCATTAAAAGCAGTACAGCTATGAGCCATGAAATGGATTATCAGTAAACCTTGAAGGGGGTGGGGGGGGGGGAAGGTGACAAACTAGCATAGATTAACAGTCTCCTAAAAGTGAGTAGTATATTTAATTGACAATAGCATTATTTTTTTCATTTCCACTGTCATTTAATGACATAAGACTTTCATTGTTCCTTGTGTAAAGAAGGCAATTAATACCCTATTATGCTTTCTGGCAAAATAAAACAACAAACAAAAAGCCCAACAAAAATAACACAACAAAAACCAAAACCAAAATAAAATAACAACCAAAAAAAATCCTTTGTAGACTGGCACTATAATTATTCTTTAAAAGAGAAAAAAAAGTACCTCTTTGGTGAAGCCCAGGTACCCATGCTAATCACTGTATGAGGGAGAGTCAATAAATATGGTGATTTAAGTATAGCATCACAACAGGTTATTCTAGAAACACAAACATCCCTTTTTGCAGTATAAATTACCTCCTTTTTATTCAAATGACTGCCATTTTTTTTTATTCTACCAGAAAAAGTTTTGGTAAGGAGTACAGCCAATTATGAACTTCATTCTGACCGTCTATAGCATCATTGAATGTGTGTCCTCCTCAATTATTGCACTTTTTAAGTGGCCCCCCCCAAAGTGAAAAGTAAAAATCAGAAGGTATAAAATCAGGACTGTATGTCAGATATGACTCCAATTTCAATTCCTAGCTTCATTCTATTGTTGCTTTGGTAACATGGGGGTTAGTTATCATCTTGTTGCAGAAAAATTCTTGTTAAAGAACCAGGCTTTTGAGCCCAAACTGCTGACTTCATAGCATCATGAAGTTCACAGTAGGAAGCACCTGCCCTGGTACTCGGGTCTGCATCTCCTCAGAGCATGTGTAGGCTTGAGACTCATCTGCCAGCGGAGATTTGACTGTTTCCCTTACCAGGTTTTTTGCTTTTCTGCTCTTGGGGATACAATCATAAACTCACAGTTTGAAAAAGTTCCCATTAATTATATGCTTTTTAAAAAGGGCAAAACTGTGCCCATATGGTCTACAGTACATTTTGCTTGGTTTCACTTCTGTTGACAGTAAAAAGTGAGCAACACTTTTGCTATTCAACCACAGTGCAATCAGACCCGGGTGTAAGTGCATATTGGGGTGGTGGTGGTGTTGCTGCTATACTGAAGATGGTCCGTGAGAATACTGCCAGCACTATACATAAAAACCATGAGTACTATATGTTCAGATATGCATCAACAAATGCATAAAGGACACATATATGAGTGGAAAGCATAAATCCACCTTAGTTACTGACTCTCCCTTAGAATCTGTAAACAGGACTGCAGTACAGTGCTCTGCCTTGGTTCTAAACAAGGTTAGGTACCACAGATCTTCCTCACAGTCCTCTTACTGGTTTTCAAGAACGTATTCTAAAATAGGGAGAATAAAGCAAAGGGAAATGAAGAAGGATAAAAAGATCCCTGTTTAAGATTAAAAAAAAAAAGTGCATAATGTTTGAGTTAACAAGAACTGTTCCCATGTGGGCTTCCTGGACACCAGACTACACTTTCTATCCCTTTGTTGATAAAGACCAATACACAAACACAATTCCTGCCCACTGGCTAGAAAAGTCCCTTTATCCCATTTCTAGGTGCACTGAGTTGTCCAATTACTCCACATCAGGTTTTCTGCATTCCGAACAGGAATATCCCATTTTTTATACTACATATCAGGCTGACGATTCACTGGATACTGCATTTTAAAGTAGAGTCTTTAGTGTTGGGAGTACATATTTAAACTCCTCCGTGCTGGCAGGTTCAGTGCATCCATTGCCAGCAATGGACTTTGAGCCAGGAAAATGTTTATCCCAGCACAAGAGAACTCAGGAGGAATGGGCATTCTCCAACAAAGGTGGTCCATCTCTATGCATGGATGGGTGTGTGTGCTCCCTTTTGTAAGTTTTTGGAGGAAGTTTTGGGATGTGTTGAGAAGCGCTTTGTCGTGGAGGAACAGGTGGCCCGGGGATGGAATGAAGGTCCACATCTTGTTGTGTTAATGGTGGTGATGGCAGATGCCTCCTTGGGCCATGAGGAGAAGGTGTTTGAGGAGGTGGTGGTGTAAAAGGGGAGGGGCTGTTTGGGAAGAAAGTATTGCCATGTTCACTTTTTTTGCCCAAAGGGGGTGGCTGGAGATGTAGTGGTGAGCTGGAGAAAACATCAGGTGTCCTCACGGGTTCTCGTGGTGGTAAAAGGGGAGGGCTTTCTGGAGGGTCTGACATCGAGGTCCGATCAGAGTAACGTGGTGAATAGACTTTTGATGTGGGTTGCCGAGGAGGGATTGCTGGAGGACTATCCAAATGTCTGGACATAATCTAACATGCAAGAAATAAAACAGAAACTTATTAATAATATAATCTATATGATGATCAAAAACACAACAGTACATACCATGAATGTCATATGAAGAAAATGTGATAATGTTATGAAACACTGAATGAATGTCAAAAGAAAGATAATCTAAATTCAAATAAAAGCTCTGAAATCAAAGTCCTTTCATATTTACTATTTAGAGATTCAGAAAAGGAACTTACAGTATAATAAAATCCTACTAACATGATAATACTTCCTTTATGTCAGACATCAGTTTTTTTTTTAAACACATTAACTGGGGGCAAGAAGGATTTCTAGTTAATGGAGCTGGGCTATGATATTCTCTTTGGGGGGTGGCCTAGAGCTTTGTGCTCATTGGAGGACTGAATAAATATCGAAGAGACACCGTCAAAAGAAAAGGAGTCACATCACTGTTTCCTGTTTGTGTTAACTCATTTAAGCATTTATTAAGCTCCTACTGTTTCTCAGGCACCATGCCAGCCAATGGGGCTACAAAGACAAAAACAAACGGCCCTTTCGATGGCCTGATATGATACTGGCTGGAAACAAACTAATGAATGAACAAATGAACACACACAAACACACACACACACACACACAGATGAGTAAACACAGAGCTAGCTGTCTGGGGCATAGGACAGAGTCTGACTGCCACGGGACATTAGGAAAGGCATTGTGGCACACGAGCCACGTCTGGAAGGCAGGGAGGATGGAGTCCATGTGGAGAGACAATGTTGTGTTTAGGAAACAGCAAGTACAATAGTCTGGATATGGAACAGAGAAGTGAAGTGATGTGAAATCAATACAGAAAGAGAGGTTGGGACTCAGTTGTGAAGGACTTTAAATGCCAGAGGATTTTATGTTTTGTCCTAGAGGAAACAGGGAGCCCCTGAAGCTTCTTGAGGTATTCCGGTCAGATGTGAATAGTAGCCATATCAGCTTGGCAGTTTTGTGGAGGATGGACTGGAGAGGCAGGAGATCTGACTAAGGCTGTTAAGGGTCTAAGTCTTGGGTCCCTTCATTAGGGTTATCATCATGTTCAAACCTTAGTAAGCACAGGGCAAGAGGCAGCCCAGCTAGTCTTGGAGTCAGAAAGGCCTGGGTTCAAGTGCTCTTTCTGACCCATTCCAGCTGCATGACCCGGGTAAGTGTCTTGGCCTGTAAAGTTCTAGGCCATTCTATGAGAATAAATGCCACATGTCTCAATGAGGTACATTGGTGGAGGGAGATTCTACACTAGGAATTTCCCACACTTATGAAATCAGACCCTGAACTCTCCCTCCCCACAATCTGCCACCCTAAGGACTAAACAAGTCACTTACTGCAACGGAAGCTGGCCATTTCCCACAGCAAGCACCTGCCTGCATTTTTACCTTAGAGGGAGAAGATTCTGCTGGGGCAGATTCTGGTCTTCTTCTTGGGGGCACGGGTGGGGGGATGGGCATTTCATCAGTGCTCTTGGTTAAATTTATCGAGGATACCGAAGCAGATCCTGTCAGGCATTCAAACACAAGTTGTTTTTAGGAGATAGATTTTTATTTAGTAGCCCTGAAAAAGCTTACCTCAAAATTGTTTATGCTCATGTTTATTAATACAAATACATAGAAGTACCAAGATATGGATCTTAAGAAAGCAGCACAAAAAACCCATCACCTGGTTTCACTTACTTTTTAAGCAAATTGCTGTTAAACATGCAAAAATTTCTCAGCACAGCTTTAAGAAAAGCGCTACCTAATAGATACTCTGTTCTCTATTTGCCTCATGAACAAAGAGCATTTCTACAGCCAGGCTCTTGGCCATGATGTGAAACCCATTCGACTGAGTCTGGTTCCTGGACCTTTGGATCAGACAGGCAGTTAAAGCCTGTAAAGCCTCTGGAAGGTGGATGTTGTTAGGACTTGGGTATGTAGGTAGGGATTCTTTTCCATACCATAAGGTAGTGGCATTGCTGTGTTCCTGACTATTCTAAGTTGTCCTCAAGTGACATGGTCATAAATCCTCCAATGTCACTGCCTATCAATTTTTTTTTCAAGGAAATGTTAAAAAATTTAAGAGCTAGTGGTAAAAGTGCTGTAATTTTGGGTATGAAGAAGGCATCTTTCTCCTTTGTTCTGAAAAATGGGCTTTTCTCTCTAGATTAGGGTGAGAATTACACTCTAATCCTAATACTAAGATTGTTGTGCAGCTAACAGAAGGATGAGGTTGTGGCAAGTGTAGATTTTGGAATAAGAAAGCTCTGGGTTCAAATCTAGCTTCTAACACATATCAGTTATATGACCACAGGTAAGTCGATTGACTTCTTGATCCCTGATAGCTGGGACTTTCACTTTTGTCTTTGTACTGCCAGACCTAAGATTTAATAAATGCTTGCTGACTGTCAAATGGGAATAATGAATACCTGTTGGACCTACATCACAGAGTTGTTCTGAGGCTTGAAAGGAGATATGTGTAAAGTATTTGTGTAGACATTCAAGTGCTATCTGTCAGTTTGTATGATTACTTCTAGTTTTAGAGTAGACTTTTATATCACCCTGGGACTTCTGGGTCAGTCTCAAATAACAAAAATATCAACTACACCAAAAAGTAGTTAATTTTGATTAAAAAAAATTTGTGAACTGAGATAAAAAAGGCATATAAAACTTTTAATAAGAACTAAATTGGTTAAAACTATAAGAGTCAAGTAAATGGATACTTAAGGAAAGAAAGGTGGGGTGATAGAGGGAGATGAACACTGGATGGTGTTCACTGGGTTCTTATTTAGGCACTTCCACAACATGTGTGACCCACAGCAGGTTCAGAGTCTTCTCTGGGCTTAGTTTCTTCATTTTCAAACTGAAGAGGTTGGATTAGATGATCTCCATGGGCCTCTCTGACCATAAAAATTCTCTACAAGCAGTTATATTAATTGTTAGTATTCCATAGCATTCAAAGTTGAACATTTAATATTGATAATAATGATCTATACTTGATGATCATTTATGTTTTCTTAGAGGCCATCAAGTTTAATAAATTTATTTTAAAGATAAGGTTTGGTTCATTTAGCTATATGGCTATAATATCTGTGTAACTTTGGCCAAGTTGTGATCTCCCCTCGGCCTCAGCTTCCCTACCTGTAAAATTAGGAGGTCAGACTAGATGATCTTTAAGCTCCTTTTCAGAACCTAGAATTTATACTGAGAAAGTCTTCACCTACTTGATTTTTATATTAGTGGATTTATTGACCTGTCAATTGTCTTAAAATAATAATTAAAAGTGTTAAGTCACAATGGAACTTTTATAGTGATTATAATTTAGGGCTTGTAACTTTAAATGTTACTTTACCCAGAACATGAAAAAAAATTACAAATATAGAAGATTTAAATTTTCCTTAGAATCAAAACTTTTTTTTCTTAAAACATAGAATAATTGGATTCTACAGACAGTCTGGAAGGTATAATGAAAAAAATACTGGCCCCAACATCAGGAGGAGTCCAGGCTGTGCCATTTATTTCCTGAGAGACCTTTTCTTGTTAAGATATTTTCATAAATATTATCTTCTTTATCCTCATTGTAGTTCTGTGATGACATAAGGGCATTTGTCAGTCTCACATTTTAATGAAGGAGAAACTTAGATATGCAAAGGTAAATGTCAGAATCAGAATTAAAAACCAGTTCCAGGGCAGTGATCTTTCTGCTAAACTTTGGCACCTTAACAGTAATCTACTTTTTGGTTTCGTTAATGATCAGTGACTGTTAGTCATCCTTCCCCCCCACCCCAAAGCAGAGTACATAAATCCACTGAAAAGTCTGTACTTTACAAATAAAAGTAACTATACTTAATATATCCCTTTAATATTTTGCTCTTAAAATGAAGTTTTCATAGAAATGATAGGTATATTGAAGAAGATAAATCATCTATGATAAAGGGTAAGAGAACAGGGGAAGGCCTCACTTAAAAGATGTTGTAAGCCAGGTATCACTGCTGCCAGACCCAAGGAAAGTTTGAGCAGGAAAAGTTACACTTGGTTTGAGTTCTAGAGCCATAGCAAGTATTATAGGTGAGACTTAAACCACATATACTAACTTGGGCCATGGGGCAGTGTAACTTGGATAAAGATGGTATCGCTGCCTGTGAAAGGAAACAAGAAAAACGAGATTTTTTTTTTCGCTGTAATTTGTCAAAAGTTTTATGATTAAAAAAATTCTATCATCATTGCTCATCTTAAATAATATAATGTTAGTCCACAGTATAAACATATGTATCCAAAATGTTAAACCATGTTTTTTAGGGGTAAAAAGGGACAAAATTGAGCTAATGTATTAGGAATTTGGAGACTGTTACATTAACTTTCTGGTGTCATAGTCACTTATATGAAATGTGTCTAGAGTTAAGGCAAAATATCCTCTATCCTGCCAATGGGCTAAAGTGAAATGAAACATTGACTGTAAACTATTCACAGTTATTACAGGGAGGTAGTCATGAGGTCATGCTTCAGTCTTTGAAAAAAAAAAAAAACTTCCAAAGGAACTCTCTACATTCTTATTCACAACCATTATTATACAACTTGCAAAAACTAAGAGTTTAGCTTTACTTTTTGAACCACATATGACTGTGCTCTTACTCAACGATTTTTAAATCTATCTTTAAAAGACACATGAACATGGGTTTTTGTTAATTGCTAGTCTCCTTCCACAAAACTGGATAAAGACTTAACAGTTAAAACAGAGTCAATGATGAATGCTGTTAGTCATTTTTTTCCCTCAGAGTACACAAATCCATTGAAAATTTTGTACTTTACAAATAAAAGTAACTATACTTAATATATCCCCTCAATATTTTGCTTTTAAAATAAAGTTTTCATAGAAATGATAATATTGTAATATTGAAGTAAACCATCTATGATCAAGGGTAAAGGAACAGGGGAAGGGTTTCACTTAAAAGATACTGTAAGCCAAGTACCATTGCTACCAGACCCAAGGAAAATTTGAGCAGGAAAATGAGAAATTCATTAACACAAATTTCATGGTACCTAGATACCTCTTGTATCAGAACCCTGAAAATTCTCAATCAATTTTGAAAGCTTTAAATGAAGGAATCTTCAAAAGACAGTGTGATTTTTTTGCTATGTAACAATGAAGCTCTTTACAATCAGTTATGTATTTGAACTAATCATTAATATTATTGAAACAATTGGGCTTTTTGTATTATCTTGATTTTAGTCACTTTATCATCTAAACTGAACTCCAGTATTTACTTGTACTAATTCCAGTGTTTCGGCTTTTTTTTTTTAAGTAATATTTTCTATAGAGATGAGTCTATTTCCATAGATTCTCTTTTCAGCTCAACTGGGTACTCTTAAATGTATGCTGATGCATTCATTCTCAATTCAATAATTTCTACCTTCAAGATGCTCAAGGAGTTCTACAGATTTTAATTTTAAAACTATCCTTCTTCTGAAGTAGGTATGAACTCAATACTGTCATCCCAGCAGAAGTACCCTGGCAGTACACACAGCACTTTGCTAGGCTGGTGGCACAGGAATGAAATCAAAACATTGCCCATGCCTGCGAGGGGCCTGAAGTTGTTCAGCAAGAATACTACACAAAGAAAATAAGTTTCTACATAAAGCAAACTTATTCTAGCACAAATTTGGAGACTGATCTGATTTGTATATTTGATTTCATTGCCTGATAGCTGCTTTTATAGTAACATTAGAATTATAAATGCTATCAGGGAGGTGTTAAGAACCTCTGTTACTAGGTAATCATCAAATGAAGTTATTGGTAATGATTCAGGAGTTAAATCCACTTAAAATGATCGCTATCTCCCTAAATTTATCAGAGACAACTTACAGTGACTAGAAGTACCTGAAAAAAGCTTATCCAGGGGTTTCTTCTAGAAAGGAAATTCTGCTAACTACCTGAAGCATAGCTGCTTAGCAATAGAGCCCTGAAGAGTTTAGAGCTCCTTTCTGATATCTTCTAATAGAGCAAAACCTCACTGATCAAGACTAAGCAGAGAAAAGACCAGCTTAAATTAGCTAAAGTTTCAAATTACAGAATATTAAAAAAAGAAATAATTTTGCTACTTTTACTTATATTAGTTAAAAATTAGTAAATGTCATGATTAGAGAACAAATAAAATCTGTAATTATGACATCAATTATTCACCACATAAACCAGAAGTTACCAAAGTGCTCGATGATACGTAAAAAGTTTGTTCTCAAGTGTTTAAAAAAGCTCAGTCATCAAATATTTAAACAAGACTGTAGTGGGAATGTTTAAAACTATTTGAACTTTCTCTGAAATGCTGTGTTAATCAAAGGGAAACAAGCTTACCTTCTGTTCATATGATAAATTATGATGACTTTACTATGGAAAAATATTTTAAATGAGTGCACACATATAATTGACTTAACATTGATTGACTTCTTGACTGTATTTACTGTCTCGAGAACCAACCGTGCTAGGAATGCAAAGGTTAGTTTTTAACAGAAGGCTGGCCAATAGAAAATGATTCATATTAATGTAACTGTTGGTACTCTTGATATACTCTTTGTCTAATGCCCAATATAGACACAATACTGGAGGTGCTAAACTATATTCATACTATTATGTTCACTATAAAAGAAATCAAAAGATGGTATAGCCAAATTGAATGACGGGTTGCAGACAAATGAAAGACTTCATTCAGGATACAGGCAATAATAAATATCTTTTCCTAGGATACTTGCTCATCTATTCATGATGAGCATGAAAATAACAACAGCACCAATGTTCACTGCAGATGATGAATTTAGAGAAATTCTAAAAAGGACTTCAGATTCTACAAAATAAGTGAACTTATAGCTTGATTCTTGGTGACTTCAACATGAAAGTAGACAGGGAAAAAAGCCACATATTATGTTGGTATTTTAAAAAAAATATCTTCAAGAAAGATGTTGATATTGAACAGCAAATGAAGTCATTTAAAAAAGAAATGTGAACAGATAGGAATAGACTGGTTAGTACTTCCAGAATCAGTTACTTGTAGCCAGGTCACTTGTTTGATTTGAGCAAAGGTCAAAACAATAACCACATAAGAAATTATCAAGGGAGAAGGTTGTAGAATCACAAGAGTTCCAACCTGACCTGTTTAACAAGGGGTCTATTGGGGAAAGGTAAAGACATTGGTTTTTATCACTGTTTCTAGAAAGAGTTTTTAACCGATGAAAGCCGTAGACTTTTAAAAAGAGGTTGAAAGTAGTCATAAACTGTCAGACTTACTGAAGTAGCGAGACACAGAAGCCAAAGGCAACACCACCTTGGGATACAAGCATTTTGTGGGATGGTGGAAGATTATGTAACTCACACATAACAAGAGAAACAGTTGAGGAGAAAGTAAGCCTACACAAACCTTCATGTAAGGCCTGGCCAGGCTGGGCCAGGTTCCACTGACAGCAGACGAAACTAGAAGCACAAAGATACAAAAGGAAACAGATCTATTGGTATTTTTGTAGTGCTCTATTCTCATTGGCAATGAAGGTGGAGTCACCACATTTTGACACAATTACTTCTGGACCTGATAAGAAAGTGACATTTAAGAAGATTTAGTTGGGAAAGATAAACAAATATATGTAGAATTATATGTTGAAAACGATACAGTTTTAAAGAGATTTGATAACTCTCAAGTTCTCTCAAAGACGGGAAGATTTCAAAAGAATAGAAAACAGTACAGAGAGCATATTTCCTCATTACCCTCTGAAAGAAGCTCTAAAATTTTTATGATAATGGATTATGCATGTAATTAGAATTTCCTCAAACAAAACATAACAATGTAAGAGGCAGATTTATAAAGATAATTTTCTATAGTAGACCACACCTTATGATTACAAAATGGACATGAGAGGTATATAGAATACAAGATCATTTTGTGTGTGTGTGTTTTTAATTTGGAAATATTTGATTCTTCAGAAAAAAAATGCATCCTTCAGAACTCTTCTTGGATAAGGCATCTGTCCAGTGCATCTATTAAAACCATATTATTACGAAAGATACATCTCTAAAGATAAAGAATATTCACTGAATGATTATCAGTGACCATGATGACTGAACAGAGTTATAAATGGGGTGTTAACAGGGAGATAGACAAAAAGAATGAATCTGAGATTCTCCAAATAGGTTTTTCTCACTCTGAGATAGCATTGCACATGGTGTCACAATGTACACAGATCCTTGAAACACTAAAATCACAAAGAATCTGAGGGCAAATGGAAATGCATGATGGTTCTAAAAATGCTGGAATAAAAGATGTGAAGGAGAAGACCATGATGAGGATGTGTGTGTGTCCAGCAAAGGAGGCAGGGCAGGCATGTAGCCAGAAGAACCACAGGATAGACACGCTCTGTGATACAATGGTACCACCCTCTAACATGTTACAGGAACAAAAGCAAAGCCTTCAGAGCCTGGACTTCTTTGGAGGATTTTCAGGGAAACAGAAAAATCATACAAGATAAAAAGGTTGTTCTCTGCACCAGTGTAGGAAACACCCATATCAGTGAAACTATTGATCCAACAAAGTTCAAATTAAGTACCTGGTTCTCTCTCCCCCCCCCACCCCCCACCCCAGGGGTGAGGGAATTAAAAGTATTCAGACACTATAGATAAGGGCGGAATGATCTCTGACATGAATGTTAGTTGGGCCAATGTTTTTTTTTCCTTTGGGAAGCTGTTTCTAAAATGATAATGAAGCAAGTAAGAAAATAACATTCAATATACTATATATACAACTTTCAGAAACATCACAATGTATAACACAAGGCTACAAATTTAAGTAATAATAAGCCCTATGAGCTCACTGAGTTAGCACATAATATAATGCACTTAACAGTGTAGGCAATTATGTACTTTGGGGACTTGCTACTTTGGATGACATGGTTATACCAATAGTAGAACAGGGCTGCTTAAATACAGCAACAATTAAATTTCAACTATGGAACTGTGTATATAACTTCCAAGCAAGTAATTTCCAAAATTATAACTGCAGCTCTGAACACATTCCTGAGTTCAAGTACTTTATCTTCAAATGAATATTAAATAAAGAATCATAAAGTCACATAATATCAGAGCTGAAATGAGTCCCAGAGATGATCTATTCCAACCTAGGCCTGAAGAATAATGTTCTCTACATCATGCCTGAACTTTGAACACTGTCAGCAAAGGGGAATTCCACTACCTTGTGTTGTAATTCAGTCGTTTTCCATTCGTGTCTGACTCCTTGTGATCCTGTTTGGGGTTTTCTTGGCAAAGATTCTAGAGTGGTTTGCTATTTCCTTCTCCAGCTCATTTTACAGATGAGGAAACAGAGGCAAACAGGCTTAAGTGACTTGCTCAAGGTCATATAGCTAGGAAGTGTCTGAGTCCAGATTTGAACTCAGGAAAATGAGTCTTCCTGACTCCAGGCCAGGCATTTTATTCATTGTGCCACCTAGATGTCTCCAACGCTACTTTGAAAGGGGGTGCATTTAACTTTCGGGCCACTCTACATTAATCGTCTCTGCAACCTCTAGTGGCCCCTCCCCTCCAAGTTGATGTCTATTCTTTGAGACTGTACTTTGGGTCTAACCTTTCAACTGGTTCCAAATCCATCTAACTGTGTTATCATATAGGCCACATCTCTCCTTCTTGTCTGCAACGTCTTTCCAAATAAAAGACTTTGTCAAATGACTTGTAGAAATCTAGGCATATTCTGCATATAATGTTCCCATGATTTAGTAACCCTGTCAAAAAAGAAAAGGAAAGACTTATCTAATATGACCTATTCTCAGAGATCATCCTGTTGAAATATGGGCAGAACTGTAAAAGGAAACCCCTGCTGGGAACCACGGCTGGTCAAGATTAAGTGACTGAGATACTATATAGACTTTTGGGAAATGGCTGCTCAGTGTAAAGGTTCCTTATTTTCTAAGGGCTCTGCTAGTAGTTCTATTTTGTTTCCTTCAATCTTTCAGTAAGTCTTTGTTCCATTAAAAAAAAAGTCAAATGTGTATATTATCCTACAGATGATAGATGGCCACTGTTGACTCTTGAGCAGGGAAGGAAATGGTAAGCACTGTGCTTTGGAAGTCAAGATAGCATTGGCCTCTTTCTGTCCCTTGGTACCTCTTATTCACAGTGTTTAAACGATGACCAACAGTGACTCAGCCACCCAATATACCAATTCTTTCAAGTACTCAGATATGTAGTTTGTCTGGGTTTGGTTATTTGGGTTCACTGATTTTAAGACATCTAACTTTTTGTAGATTTTAGAAAGCTTATCTTCCATAGTGGAGAAAAAAGCAAAAAAAAAAAAAAAAAAAAGAGTGGTTCTGCTTTACTCCCACCTTCTAACCTTGCTACTACAAATCACTACCGGATTATTATTCCTCCAATACCACTTTCATTGTGTCATTATACTTCTCAAAAAAGTAACCCATCTCCTCTGTGGTCCAGTCCAGCTATCCTTGATGGTTTACTCTTTCAAGTCTGAATCTATGTATATCTCTGAAGAAAATATAAATTCCTCTCAGGGAGAAACTATGAATTAACACATCCCTGTACCTTATACAACTAACGTACTGTCTGCACATGGTAGGCACTAAAATACTGACTGAATGAATGTTATGTTTGAAATTAAGAACATGTTATTAGAATCCATTATGTGACAAAACTAACCTGCACACAAAGAGAACCAGTGTGACAGATGAACAAATCTTAGGTAGACCACCAGAATTTTACTGCTTGATAAATTTGATCATTTAATACAGTTTGGGATACTGATATTTTAATTCACAGAATATACTCTGATGAAAATTAAGAATATAGGTCTAATATTATTAAAGCTAATATGAAGATTAAGCTATGATTGGTATCATTTAATTTAGAAGTTATTATTAAAAACTTTAAGATAGCCAAAAAGCTAAATTTTGCCAATGAGTTAAGAAAGGGGAGGAGGGAAGATTAAATAAGAAATAAGTCAGTTTTCAACTTCAGCATGTCTTAATCTACTCCAGTAATGTGACATGAGGAATAATCCTTTCCTCCTTGGTGATCATGGGGAATTTCTTTCCTCTTCCATCTTTTTCCTGTGGACCCCAGAGCTATGTGGTATTCTTCCCCATCCAACTCTGTTCACACATACCTTAGCCCAGTCCTATAACAGCTACAAGTACAACTCACGTTGGCTGGTTGGTAGTGGGAGAGATGTGGATAAAGGGAGAAAAAAAACCCCACAACCTTCCAACATATGTTTTTTAGTCCCATTCTCCCTTGCCCAGTTTTCTGTCCTCACCCTCCCCTGTGTCCAACAGGAGTGGAAAAAGAAAAGTTTAAAATTAAAGGGAACAAGATGGAGGAGGTAGCAGTCCCGTTACTCTAACAACACTTGTGTTAGGAAGGAGAGGGCAAGAGGGGTAGGAGGTAAATCCTATTCTAAAGCTACTTTCCCCAACTTTCTTTGCCCTTCCAAGTTCCTACTCTTCTTCCTTACTGTCCCAGTTTGAATCCTCTCTAATTCCTTTATCTAAATTCACTTCTGTACCCAACTGACCCCATCACCTTGCTCCTCGTCTCAGAGCACTTCCATCTTAACTGTCACCAAGACTCTGCCTTGCTGTGGAGTCCCTGCCCTGGGGCACTACCTACTACCAGTAGTGTGGAATCGGGGGAATCCTTGCTCTTCCTGATCAGACTGAGGGAGAGGAGGAAGAGGTGTACACCTAGAATCTAAAGCTGGAATTTGGGGATATATTTTCACACAGAAAGATTGACATATGGTCATTGAAGAGTTTTTGATAGGTGTTTGAAAAACTCTAGGAAATTTATTGCGTGTTATCACAGAAAGCAGTGTGTTCTAGTTATGTAGGATGTCTACAGGTAGCAAAAAGGCACACGTAGATGGATATTTTGAAAGTTTAAGTAAGTAGGATGAAGACCAGACAGGATAGTTACACTTAACAAGTGCTGTATGGGAGATGGAGATGGATAGGCAAAATGACTCTGTGTCGCTTTTGACCTCTTTAGTCCAGAGCTAGGAGCATTGACTGGCTACACTGGAAAAGAGGCACAAACTTTAAACAGGTTGTAGATGATGGAGTGTTTCAAGAATGTTCTATTTTTCCATCAACTGGGGAATGGTTGAATAAGTTGTGGTATATGTATGTAATGGAATACTATTATTCCATAAGAAATGGTGAGCAGGAGGACTTCAGAAAAACCTGGAAAAACTTGCAAGAACTGATGCACAGTAACAGCAACATTGTGCGATGACTGACTTTGTTAGACTTAGCCTTTCTGAGCAATACATTGATATAAGAAAATCCCAAAAAATTCATGACGGAAAATGCTATCCACATCCAGAGAAAGAACTATGGAGTTTGAATACAGATTGAAGCATACTATTTTCTCTTTTTTGTTGTTTTCTGTTCTTTCTTTCTCATGGTTTTTCCCTTTTGTTCTGATTCTTCTTTCACAATATGACTAATGTGGAAATATATTTAATATGATTACACATGTATAGCCTATATCAGATTGCATGCCATCTGGGGAGGGGGGAAAATTTAGAACTCAAAATCTTATAAAAGTGAATTTTGAAAACTAGAAATAAATTAATTTAAAAAAAAGAAAAATAATTTTTTATTTTTCTTCTGGCTGTAAAAAAGCAGTTATTTCCAAAGGAACACAAAGAAAACAAAATATCTAATGTGGTTTAAACTGCCAGGCTGCTGCACAATTTATCAGGAGAGGCCAAATCTTATTACAGTGATAAATTTCAAGGAGTTCTTAGACGATTCCTTTGTTCTTGTTGAACTGCAATTTCACTGCTCCGAAGTTTGCTGGAGTATGGAATGCACATAGATCTTCACTGTAACATCATTTATGCTTTGCTACTAGATTTGACTGATATGAAAGTCATATTACAGGCATCTTTCATCTAATGTCATTAACTGGCTCAGTGACATGAAATGAAATGTGACTGAGAGCATCAATTGGTTCCAAAGGAACAATATTCATGCATATGTAATAAGCAATGTAGCAATGGTGACTGATATTTGGGGGACACCAGCACTATCACAGAATGTCGCTGACCACCTGAACTGTGTTATGGAAGACATACAGAATATTACTGTAGAGTTTACTCAAGATTCATTAAGGATGTTGCCCAAACTGTGAAGTATGCTTATTTATGCCAAATAAGATAATTTGTAAAGCACTTTGCATATTTTAAAGCATTATATAAATATCAGCTACAGAGTTTCTCAAGCTTTTTTCATTAGAAAATAAAATTTATCACCCACGTATAATGTTTTCAAGGACTTTAAAGAATCTGTAGTTTTACCACCTACTTGAGTGAAAAGGACTTGAATGATCAGAATCAAACACACTGCACACATCGGTGGTACTGGAAGCACCAGAGGCAGGAGGAGGTGTTAATGGTGTTCTTGGAGAATTAGGTGCAGACGCTGTACTTTCTGTTTCACTTTCAGGGATCCGACTGTAACTAATCTTCCTTGGCTCCTGTTGCAGCGGTGTGGGGTGTCTCATGGTACCTGGTCTTGGGTTTGATGGACGAACACCAGGAGACTTGAGGGGATAACTGTACTTTTTTGGCTGTAGACCCATCAAAAACAAACATGTTACTTTATTAAAGCACTACAATATAAACATCTAAATAAGTATTATAGAAACATATCTTAATCCAATGCAAAGAATGAGAATTGGTCTGAAAGTCATATCACATATATTGGATTGATAATGACAGACCAGGGATGAAGGGTAGAAAGGTCAAGGTACAGAAATAATGACTACCCTGGAGAAAATGGGAATATTTTGTGTCAGTTCTGTTGTAAATGATGTCAGAAAATCCAAAAATGTAGGAATTTTTGAGTGTGCATGGACAAATTAAGCTCTACCATAGCAGACAAATCCCAAGATAGTATGGGGAGAATATAAATCAATCTAAGAAAATGACACAAATTTGCCTGGGCAAATCTACAGAGATTTTTCTATTATTCAATTAGAATAACACTTTCTAGAATCCATGGAGAAAAGGACATTCTGGATAATCAAGTTTTCCAGCTAGTTTAACCAATAATTCCTTAAATATTAAAAAATAAAAAACAAAACCCAATAGAATCCTCTGAACATAATTAATCTTTTCATTATGACTGAGGATTATCTTGATGGACGTCAGTTATTACAGCACACACAGTACAAAAATAAAGTGATGCCCTAGATGTTGTGAAATGAATGGTAACTGTCTGCTGTACCTCTTGTCTCTGTCCTCCCACCTCCCGGGTCAGGATTGAATGATCATAATCAAAGCACACCACCCACATTTGTGGTGATGGAAGAACCAGGTATAGGGACAGGTGTTAAGGGTGTTCACGAAGAATTGACACAGATTCTCTGATTTGTTTCACTTTCTCACCGATCTGATTGTAATTTATCTTTCTTGATTTCAAGCTGTTAGCTGTCACTTCTTGCTTCTGTCAATATATCTACCAGTAACTCCTTCCTAACTTGATGTTTCTAATCTATTGTAGACCTCTTAGAAACCAGATAAGCAAGGCTGTCAGAACTAGATGGGGAATGAGAGTGAATAGGTTTTCGGTCAAGAGATGAGGGGTTTTTCCATGAGTAAAATAAATAAGGTTCAGGGCAGTATTTCTCAAAGGGTTGTCTGCAGTCATACTAAGTGTGCCACAAATTGTACGGAATTTACCACTTGTAATCTCAGGTGTGTGCAAGAGTCTCCAGACTCTCCCACAGCGTGCTGCAATCCAGTGTTACTATTGTATCACAAGTAAAGGAAGTTTGAGAGCCACCAATTTAGTGATGACTTTGTATCTTATCTTGGATACTCAGAAGTCTTATTTGTTTGCTTCCTGGTTCTCAACTGTGTTTTTGAACTCAACTATGTTTTAAAAATGTGAGGATGCTGTACATGAAGTATGATTGTATGTAGATTTGGCTAAGCAATGACAAGAAACTGGAAAATAATGTGAACTATCTTCACAAAGGAAGTAAAATTTTAGTCAAATCTAAATATTTTCTGGGTTATTGCTTCATACTTTTGTTCATTCTTTAATGTGAGAATTTTGATTCCTATATCTATTTTTTTATTCTTTTATTTGTTGTAACTTGTAATAGTTTACATTTCTTATTCTTTAAAAAAATATAATCCAGTGAGAGTCTGTTATTTTGATGATTTGTCTATCAAATTAATCTTTGCCCAGACCAATGTGAATATTCCTACAAATAAGTGAAAAGGCCTGTCTTTCATATTTTTAATGGTAACATTTGCTATTTCTGCCAAATTGATCAGTCTGTATTATTATTTAATCTATCTGTTTGAAAATATAATAATTATATGATACAGAGAAATACTATTTAAAATGTTTAGAACTCTAGGCAGATTTTTATCTGCATGCTTACAAATCTTGGTAGAGGCTTGGGATTTCTTGGTTCAATTTCCAGTGATTTGTTGAAAAGATAATCTGTGAATTCTTTTTCCATGCTATTTCCCATTGGATTCAAATTTTCAAAGAATCTCTGGAATATAAAAAGATGAAAACAAAGGTACTACTAGAACTATTGAAATTTGGGAAAATAATTTAAGAAAGTATTTTAAACTCAAGAGAATACTGAATAATTTGAAAAAAGGTTTTATTTTTTATTTTTCTAACATCCTCCATTCTCTCCCCATGTGCCCCCCCACCTAACCAGGAAAATACTCTCATAAAGAACCAACAACTCAATTTTCATCATAGAATCATAAAATTTCATAATTGTAAAGGATTTTGGGGCAGCTAGGTTATATAGTGGATAGAACACCGGCCCTGGAGTTAGGAGGACCTGAGTTCAAATCTAGCCTCAGACACTTGACACTTACTAGCTGTGTGACCCTGAGCTAGTCACTTAACCTTGACTGCCCTGCCCCCCCCAAAAAAAGAGTTGTAAAGGATTTCAATGATAATCTAGTACAATGTGTACTAGAAAAAATTCTCTCTAGAATTCTCATATCTAATAAGTGATTATTTAGGCTTTGCTTTAAGAACTCAAATGAGGGGGAATCCAGTGCTTTTCTAGGAAGCCCATTCTACTTCTGGCTCTGTTAAGAAGTTTTTCTTTACAAGCCTAAATTCACATCTTTGAAGCTTCAAACCATTGTTTCTATTTTTGCCCTCTGTGACCAAGCAGAAAAAAAATCTAGTTCATCTTCCACATGACAGCCCTTCAAATATTATTTGTAACAGACAACTACTAGTTCTTCCGATAGCTAATGAACTCAAGGGCCTTCACCATCCTGTTGTCTTCCTCTGGGCTCTCTCCATGTTCTCAACGTGTCCTTCCTAAAGATATTGCACTCAAAACTGAAGACAACACTGCCCATGTCACTCTGCAGTTACGGCTATAAAGACAAACCGGATTCAGCTTCTTCCAAGACAGTTAAGTAAAGCTACTACAAAATGCTAAAGTAAAACTTTGTCACACTACCTGCTACTTACAGGAATGCCTAACTAAGCTCTATTTGGCTGACATCCCTCCCCCCACCCCCGACTTAATCTCCAATAATCTCCAAATAAATTATCTTACTTTGATATCAGATTCTACTCGCAAACAATATGGTTGATTTTGGTACTGCTGTATCTCTCCTGTTATTTCTGCAACTTTTCTCCTTTTGCTAAAGTTTATAAGTTCTTTTCCATGTCTTTTCAAAACCTCAGGATTGCCTTCTTCTGTTTTCAAGATATTTGTCAAATAAATCCCTAAAAGATATAATGAAATGTTTCAGGAAACATACACATAAAATTATACTTTCTCTGGTACCATTCCACCATTACTAACTGTACAATAAATAATAATCTATCAGGCCACCTCTCAAACACTATTCATTCACTCAAAAGCCATTTATTAAGTAGTTACTAAGAACAAGACACTGTACTAGATTCTAAGGAAGACATAGAGTAATTCAGTAATAGTCTTTGCCCACAAAAAGCTTATAATCTAGCAGAAGGTCTATGCACATATAGCAACACATATCATACAAATATCATAACACACACATATAAATATCATGCATACTAGATAATATTTAGAATATGAATAGAATATATAAGAAAGTATGTCAATTACAAAGTGATACACAGTGTTAGAAGAGTGGGCAAGAATATTGAAGAAGGAACTCTAGAAGAGGTAGCATTTTGAACTTAGGACTGGTAGTACAACAAAGACGGCTAGGTCAACGGAGCAACCACGTGCTGAGATACCAGAAGATACACAACAGAAATTCCTCTGTTATGAAAGAACAGCAATCAACTTAAATCCAGTTTGTGAAATCCTATACTCTAGACAACTTAAACTCAACATATCCAAAACAGAACTTTGGCTCTTTGCTCCAAACTTCCCTATTCCTAACACCTGTCAATTTCACCTTTGCAACATCTCTTGAATGCCCTCTTTTCTCCTCTGACACTGCCAGCTCTCTAGTGTGGGCCCTCATCACCTCCCGCCTGGACCATCCCAATAGCTTGCTGGTGGGTCTGCCTGCCCCACGTCTCTCCGCACTACAATCCACATTCCTTCAACTACTAAAGCATAGGTTTGACTAGGTCACGTCCCTACACAAAAACCTGCAATAGCTTTCTCTCAGCTCAAGATCTATTTGACCTTCAAAGTCCCTCATAACCTAACTCCCTCCCCATCAGTCTTCTTATACCTTAAGCATCCCTACACCCTCCCTTATCCCCTATAGTCCATGATCCAATGACACTGGCCTCATTGTTCTTTAATAAAACACTCCATTTATTGACTCTAGGCATTTTCACTGGCCATGACCCTCCTCCACCCCTTCCTGGAATGCTCTTGTCTCTCATCTCTGCCTCCTGACTTCCTTCAAGTCCCAGCCTGAAATCCCACCTTCTACAGGAAGCCCTTCTGGATCTCCCTTAATTCCATTACCTTTCCTCTCTTAAATACTTCCTATTTATCTTGAACATAGCTTGCTTGTATATAGTTGTTTGCATGTTGTCTTCCCCAATCCCTATTGTCTTCCTTCAAAGACTGTCTTTTGCCTTTCTTTGTATCCCAAGCTTAGCACAATGCCTGGTACACAGTAGGCATTTAACAAATACTATTTGACTGACTGAAATGATAAATATCACCCCCCCAAAAAAGATATAAGTAAGCCTCTTTCCAGACAGATCTAAATCTCACAAAATGAAGCATGCAGTAGGATAGCAAGTTCACATCTGTAAAGGTATCATCAGTTATGATAGAAAAGCCAATCAATTTTTTCACATTAAAAAAAATGTACACTACTTAACAGGAATAGTGGTTTTTCAAAAGAAATAAGAGTAATCCATAGTCTAAGACCTATTTTAAAAGGGAAGACCTATGCATAGAAGCTTCCCCTAGGGTAGACTAGGATGTGGCCTAGTAAATACAAAGTAAAGAACCTGAAGTGAAGTGGGGCTCGAGCTGTGCATGTGAAGTAGGTTCTTCCCCTATAGCTGTCAGTCAGAGTTACATAAGTACAGTAAAGTACTTAGATAAAGCCAGGTAATCTCTCTTATACTCCACAATCCTGGTGGAATGAAAGGGAGTGTCTGGGAATGGATCACAGGTGTTACTGCCACAGTTTAGGCATTTGGTGATCAAGGACCACACCAGACAATAGGAATGGACATAAAGTGGGGATGGACCTGGGAGAATTATGAAAAAAGAACCAAGAGGATTGGGAACTGCTGGGTTGAGTGAGAAAATGGTGGTATCTGTTACAAATATAGCAGTCTAGATGGAGAGTTGATTTTTGAGAACAAATAAGTTCAGTTAAGACAAAGTGAGTTTGAGATGCTGGCAGGGCATCCAGGTGGAGATGTCTAACCAGAAAATGTGGGTGCTAGACTGAAATGAAGGAGAAAGGAAAAGGATGGCCAGAGACACAGGAAAAGAACCAGGATATCATTGTGTCAGGGAAGTTAGGTGGGGAAAGACTTGAAGGATTCAAACCTGTCAGATATTAAGAAAGAGTGTCAAAGTAAAGTGCTAAAAAGGACTAATGGTATTTGATTATTAGATAGTCACTGATGTAGCGGTGAAAGAATATGAACAAATAGTTCTTAAAAAAAGAATTACAAAGTATTCATAACCATGTGAAAGAATACTCTAAATCACTAATAAGAGAAATGCAAATCAGAATAATCCTGAGGTTTTACTTCATATCCTATGAATTGGTAAGGATAACAAAAATGGCAGTACTCAACTTTGTGGAAAAATAGAACACGAATACATCGTGGGTGGAGCTGTGAAATGGTAAAACCATTTTCGAACATAATTTGTAATTATGCAAATAAGATGACTAAGATGTCCATATGCTTTGTAGCACAGACTCCATTAATGGGCTTATACCCCAAGGAAGCCATTGATAAGAATAAAGTCCCCACATATAACAAAATATTTATAGCAGCACTTTTTGTGAAAGCAAAGAATTGGAAACAAAGTAGATACCCATCAATTGGGGAATGGCTAAACAAACTGTGGTAAATGACTGTATTGGAATATTACTGTGTTATAATAAATGATGTGTGTGATGAATACAGAGAAGGATGGGAAGATCTGTATGAACTAATACAGGGTAAAGTAGGCTGAGCCCAGACAACAATATACACAGTGACTATTACAATGTAAATGGAAAGAACTAAACACCAAAAAATCAAAAGTGAATGTAACAAAACTATGAAGACCAAGCATGACTTGAAGAAATATGAGAAGTCACTCTCAACTTAATCCTTTGTGTTGGTCCACAGGTATTACACATATTTTTGGACTTTCTTAATGTATCAATCAGCTATGCTGCTTTTTTTTTTCCTTTCAAAAAATGCTTGGTGGAGGAGGAGAAAGGATCCTGATATAACTGTGATGATGTAAGAAACAGAAGACATCAATAAAGACTTTTTTTTTTTAATAAGAGGTCACTGGTGATTGAGACAGGAGTTTTGAGAGGAGAGGTGATGTTAATTATGGTAAAGTCAGACCACAGACTCTCAGTTCAAAGGGACCTTAGAGGGCCATCTGGTATAAAACCCCTCATAGTACAGAGGAAATTGGCACTCAGGGAGATGAACTGATTAGCCCAAGTTACAGAATTCATAAATGACAGACCCAGGAGTTGAACTCAAGGTCTCTCACTCCACATCCAAGACATCTTCCATTGTACCAGGCTGCCAGAAAAGATTACAGGAGGAAGCATGAGAAAAAATGAGTAGTCAGTATAAATTACTATTTTGGGAAGTCAGGCAGTAGGAATATCATGATTTTAAGATGGATCTAAGTGCATTAACAAAAAGAGGACAGAAGAAGCCTGAATATATAAGATAAACAAAATAAATTTGTTCATACATATACACACATGCACGCGTGCACACACACATTGCTCAACAAAAGAAGGCCTTCAATATATTCTGTTATTTCCTACATGTCTATCACTTATTCCAAAATACGAGTACAACTACTTTGTCCAAAAGATATTGATCATTCAATTAAAAATTTTAAAAAATAGTACTTACCAAAGAAAGGCACACATGGTGGATTAATAGACCTGAGTTTTGCCAAATATTTTTTATAGTGATCTTCACTCAGTTCATGAGCTTCCTCTAAAATTTTCTTTTGGCGGCTTGGAATTTGCTAAAAGAAAAAAAAATTATGAAGCTCATGTTCTCATATGAACTCACAAGTTTTGTCAAAAATATAGGAAGGCAAATAATACCGGTAAGATAAAAAACAACACATTTGATATCTCACAAAATTAGTGGGTATTGTACTAGTGTTGCTCTCAGACTGTATATATACATACAACAACAATTTGATTTCAGGTATACATTTTTGATAAAACCAGTTTCATAGACCACTCTTCCCTTTCCAAACTAAACTGTGAAAAAATGAATAAATCAATGAATGAAAAAACATTTATTAGGCATGTGATATATGCCAAGTACTTTTCTAACAGCTGGGAATACAAATAGAAAAATGCGGTAGTCCATGATCTTAAGGACCACACAATCTAATAGAAGAAGATAATGTATACAGTGAGGTTTAGCTGCAAGATAAAGGTTAAGTCATGGTATCAGACTATATAATTCAACCTACTTGTATTCTAATCCTCTTTCTATTCCTTGTACAATGTAAAAAGTATCTGTTACTGCATTAGAATTTCCTCATCAATAATCTTGAGATAATATTTGCATAGTACTTAGCACAGTACCCAGCATATAAGAGATGTGTAATAAATATTTGTTCTCTCCCCTTCCCTTTTTTAAAAAAATCAGGCAATTTCCTAAATGAGAAGCACTATGTGTTTATTATTATGTATGTATTATTGGAAAGGAAGACATTAAACATAACAATGCGAGATGTGCAGATTTAGAGAATCTACCCCAAATGTTCATATGGACTATTTGTACCCGACCTGTGGTAGAACATTCCGAGCTCATATTGGTCTGATCAACCACAGATGGACACACTGAACTTGACTCTAGCATAGTGATGTCATTTTGGTCCTCTTTGCAAACAAAGGACAACAATCAACCAATTGGAATGGATGACATTAAACATAACAATAAATCCATTATATTAATTTCAGTTCCCATGTATTCCAAAATACTAGGATAAATAATCTCATATATATGATATACATAATACACATCATATATGTATATGCACATATGTGTATATATACATACACACATAAATATATATGCTTTTTCTTCAATCTCTGCTTAATATCCCTATGTCCTTCCTTTCCTTTTCAACATATAAGAAAAGGGAACAATAATCTTGTTTCTTGAAATAGATCCCAAAACAAGTGTTCTAAGAAAAGTTGATAGTTTAAGGACCCTTTCAGTAGGATGGAGAGAATGAAGTTCAGGATGGGAGGGTAGAAAAGCATACAGGTAGTAGTACTTCCAGCAGAATATGGAATCATAGCATCTCAGAGTTGGAAGAGATCTGGGAGGTTGACTAGTCCAATTAATCTCTGAATAACAATTTCCCGTAACAGTAACATAACCAATAAGTGGTCATCCAGTTTTTGCTAAAGATTTACAGTGAAGAGTCATCACTAACTCTCCTGGCAACATATTTAATTTTTGGATAATATTTAATTTTTAGGAAGGTTTTCTTTTTATCAGCCCCCATGATGCCCCTTTGCCATTTCCATTTCTTTTCTATGTGACAGTGCTTGAAATTCTTGAAGGCAGCTATAATATCCTCTCCTAAGTTTTCTGTTTTCCAAGCCAAACAATCCTAATTCCTTCACCTGATTCTCATATAACATGAACCTGAGGTCCTTCACTATCCTGGTTACCCACCAGCTTATCAATGTCCTTTCTGAAATGTGGAGTTCACTACTGAGTATTATTCTCCAGATGTGGTCTAACAAAGTGAAGACTCTTACTACCAGAGTTCTGGACAATATGCCTCCATATTTCTTTAAAGTGTCATTCTTTTATAGCCATTCATCTATATAGGTGAGGTGGGGGAAATATATAAAATATGTAAGTATATATAAATGTATGTTAAATATGTAGAATATATAAATAAAACTATATAAGTATCAACTTTCCTTCCTCCTGTTGCTGTTATAGATAATACATTTCAAAAAAACTGAATTTTGTGTTTTCTTTTTTCAAAAGAAAATAGACACCTTTGTTGTTACATCTATCTCCTTAGGTAGTTTATGTTTTTGGCAATATAAAACTTTAGGCTACTGAGAGTTTAGTTACAGCTGGTTTTTACTTATGTAGTTTGTTCCACTGATTTGTTTTTCTCTTTTTTTGACTAGGACAAAATAATTTTGATGATTATTCCTTTGTAGTCCATGTCTAGAGTTGATATTTGTGGATTTGATTTGTGTTCTGCTGCTGTTGTAAGTATTAATTGTATCAAATAGTTTATTAATTTTGCAAGGATTTGTAAGTAAATCATTCATGTCATCTGCAAATAGGGATAATCTTTTCTCCTTTTTGCCACTGTTTATTTATGCTTTTACTTTATTTCTGTTGCCTCACTGCTAGAGCTAGTATTTCTTTTTTTTCTTTTAAAGAATATTTTTATTTTATCTTTTCTAATTACATGTAAAAACAATTTTAAACATTCATTTTTAAAATTGTTTTTGAGTTCCAAATTCCCTCCCTCCCTTACCTCCTTGAGAAGTCAGTCATGCAAAAGATATTTCCATATTAGCCATGTTGCAAAAGAGAATACAGAGCCCCCCCACCAAAAAAAAAGAAAAGAAAGAAGGAAACAAGGAAAAAAAAGTTAAAAAAAAGTATTGTTTGATCTGCATTCAGATACCATCAGTTCTTTCTCTGGGAGGTAGATAGGATTTTTCATGAAAAATTCTTTTGAAGTGTCTTGTATCATCATATTGCTGAGAAAAGCTAAGTTATTTACAATTCATTATTGTATAAAATTGCTGTTACTGTGGATAAGGTTCTTCTGGCTCTGCTCACTTCACTTTTATATTAATTCATGTAAGTCCAGGTTGTTCTGAAACCATCCAGTTCATCATTTCTTATAGCACAGTAGTATTTCATCACAATTTCATACCGTTTGTTCAGCCATTCCCCAATTGATGAATATCCCTTCATTTTCCAATTCTTTGTGTGACTAACATTTCTAAAACAATGTCAACTAATAGTAAGGAGAGGAGAAATCCTTGGGAAAGCTTCTATTGCAAATAATTCTAGCTTTTGGTTTTAAATAGAAACTTTTAAAAAGTCATATTAAAAATAGACATTCTATGCTTGTGCTTTTTAGTATAAGGTCTTTTAACATCTATTGATAAAATAATGTAGTTTTAATGATTATATTAATTGCTTTCCTAATGTTGAATCAGTTGATTCCATGGTCTAAATTCATTTCAGTTAAAATGAAAAATTTGGAGGGTCGATTGCTTAGTCTTATTGCTAGGATTTTATTTTTAAAATTTTGTATCAGTAATCACTGGTGATAGCATACTATAGTTCTCTTTCTCTAATATATCTCTCCTGGTTTAGTTATCAAGACCATTTGCCTCATAAAAGAAACATGTTAAAGTGATTTCTTTCCCAAGTATGGAGAATAATTTGTGCAGCATAGGCATTAATTGCTGCTAAAACATTTGACAGTATTCAATTGTAAAACAGCCTGGAACCCCTTGGTAGATGCTTCATGACGTGTTCAATTGAACTTTCTGAGAATGGGTTAAGATTTCTACTACTTATTTGAGTATTTTATATTTCTGTCAATAGTCATGCATTTCCTTTACATTTTTCTTTATATTACTAGAACATAATTGTTTATTATGCGTCTCTTAATGTAGTCCAAATTTATATAAACATTTTTGGATAATACATTGCTTACTCACTAAGCTTGCAGCCCAATAAAAGTCCCAGACCCTTTTCAAGGAACAATCTAGCTACTCTTCCCTAATTTTCTACTTGGTGATTTTTTTTTAACTGAACACATTACATTTATCCTTAATAATTTCATATTTCTAGAGCCAGTCAAATGTTCTAGCTCACTAAAATATGGAGTTTAACTCTGTTAATCCAGTTTTTTGGCTCTCCATCCCAGTTTTGGGTCATCTATAAATTTTGAAAGTTTGCCTTTATCTTAGCCACTGATAAAACAGCATAGGGCCAAGTATAGATCCTTGGCAAAATCCACCAGGGAGTTCCTTCTAAGCTGATATGGAACCACTGCTGATTACACTTTAAGTTCAGTCATTCAATCAATTCTGAACTACCATCTAATTCATCTGTATCTAAACTATACCTCTCCATCTTGTCCATAAGAATAGCTTAACACTTGGTCAAATGCTTTGCTAAAATCTAAGTTAATTAACCTACAGTATTTCTTTGTATTTTGGATAATAACCTCATCCATAAAGACATTAAATAGTTTAGCATGACCTGTTCTTGAAGAAACCATGTTGGCTCTTTGTAATCATTTCTTCCTTGACAGCCCTAGGTCTATAATCCTATGTCTACAAATCATCCCTTGAAAAATATATTCTAGAATGTTGACAGGCATTGAAGTCAAGTTCAATCTCTTGCTTTTTTTTTTTGCTTTCTTTTTTATTTGTATTTTCTTTACACTTTTTGCTTTCTTTTTTTTATTTTTGAAAATCAGGACATTTGTCCTCTAATTCTATGATACTTCTCCTGTATTCTATAATCTTCAAAAAATTGCAAATAGTAATTCAACAATCATTTTAGCAGTGCTTTCAGTACTCAAGGATGTAGTCCATTTGGCATAGTAGTTTGAGCTTTTCAAGGACAAATAGGTGCCCTCTCACTGATCTTGGGTAAGAACCCATTAACTGTTTTCATTCTGTGCTTTCTAGTCCAAAGAGTATTCTCTTTGTCAGGGAAAAGAAGTAATCTATTAATGTTCTTCCAGCTACACCAAGTAGCTTCCTATCTATCCCTTCTTTAATACTGTTACCCAACAGAGCTTATAACTCACTGTCTGTCTCTGTCTCCATCTGTCTGTCTGTCTATCTGTCTCTCTCTCTCTCTCTCTCACACACACACTCTTCCAACTCTTTTTGTTGTTTTTCATTTTCTTTATTACTTGCCATTGCTACAATTGTCTTTCCATGCCTTAGTAAAAACTAAATTGTTAATCCTTGTGCATCCACAAGTCTTTTTTTGATAGCTTTCCCTCTTTTTCCTCCAGGAATTTTGTGTCTTCAGCAATTCATATCTCTCTGTCCTATTTTTGACCCATGATATACTACCTATACATTCCCCTAAATGCATGAAAGGTTCAGAGGAAAGTATATAAGAGCTTCTCTAGAGTTGTTCCTCTTATAGTATGAGAAAAGGATGAATTACTACACTTTCACCAGGGACTACAACAAGCTCAGTTATTTAAGAGAGTTGGATGGAGGGAATGAAACTGGTATCTTAATGATCAGTGTGGACCAAAGACAGGGAAAGCTTAGAAAAGAGGCACAGAGCCCACCAGATGGAGTTGTGGGCATGGCTGGCATAGCAGGAACCCAGTAGTGGGACCCTAGGCATGTTTCTCTTAGTTGAATAAGAGTAGTTGTGGCATCTGCACCCCTGAGGTGCAGCTTTCATTTTTCTGTTCACATTTCCCAATGCCAGAGAGCAAGTATATTTGCATAGGGTTAAGGGATATAGAGATGAGAAGACTCATAAATACTGGGTAGGGTGAACACATGTTGCAAGCTTGCTTCCTTCGACCCATTCCTACCTACACTAAATGCTTGTCTATACACTGCTACAGTCCCTTTTCTAATACCAGACTAAGACGAACCCTGATGAGGTCAAAGAAAAGTTTTAAGAGGACCTGGAGACCCTCATCATCAGTGTGCCAAAAGAGGACAAGCTTATAATTCTAGGTTACTTTAATGCTAGAGTAGGCACAGACTACCAGACATGGTAGGTAGTCCTTGGGAGGAATAGAGTTGGAAACAGCAACAGCAAAAGCAACAGTCATTTACTACTGAAGCCTTGTGTATCTCATGATCTTCTCATCACCAACACTATCTTCTGTTTACCTAAATACAATAAAACTATGTCATTGTAAGGAGAAAAGACAGACAGGATGTAAGAGTGATGAAGGCCATGTGTGGTGCAGAGTGCTAGACTCATCATAGACTTATCCTCTCCAAGCTAAATATTTGCATTCAACAAAAGTGGCAGCCCCAAGGCAAGATGACTACCAGAAGACAATGTCAGCAGATTAGAATGCTTCTCCTGATGTGAACAGTTCTTTGCTAACTTGGAGGGAAGGTGGGTCAACACATGATTGGCAACAGTGGAGCAGAAAAGGAATGGGCAACTTTCAGAGATTTGGTTTACAGCACTGCATTTACTCATCTGGGTCAGAATACTCACAAACATCAAGATTGGTTTGACAAAATTCAGAAGCTGCTAAATGAAAAATGAGAACTCTGCAGGATTTGCCAGTAGGATAGTTTCTGTCTCTAAGAAAGCAGCTTAACTTCATCAAAAGTAAAGTGCAGGTGAAGATTCAAGAGATGTAGGATTCTTAGCTCAATAAGAAGGCAAATGAAATTCAGTTTTACACAGAGAGTAACGATCCAAAGAACTTTTATGATTCCCTAAAAGCTATTTATGGACCAAAGATCTATGGTGCATATTAACTACTCAGTGCTGATGGAGCCATGTTGATTAGTGATAAGCATATGATCCTAGAGAGATGGGTGGAGCACTTCCATAGTGTGCTCAACAGATTCTCAAGAACCAGTGCTGAAGCCACTGACCACACACCTCAGGATGAAGTCAATCCCTATCTAGTTGAGCTTCCAGCTGAAGAAGAGGTTTTGAATGCCGTTGGGCTCCTCTCATGTGGCAAAGCGCCTGGTGTTGATTCTATTCCAGCTGAGATTTACAAGGCAGAGAGGCCGCTGCTCTTACAAAATCTAACTGAAAATTTCTACTATTCCCTGGGAGCTCCAGGATGCCTCCACTGTCCATCTCTATAAAGATAAAGGAAATAGATTGTCCTGTGACAACCACAGGGGTGAGAAGAGTGTCTCTCTCTTAGACAATGCTGGCAAGGTTCTTGCCAGAACCCTCTTTAATAGGCTGATTCTTCATCTGGAAGATGGCCATTGACCCAAGAGTCAGTGTGGCTTCAGAAGAGGCTAAGAAAGAGTTGATTTGCTGCCTGACAACCCCAGGAGAAATGCCAGTAGCAGAACAGAGCTGTGTACACAACAATTGTTGATCTGACCAAAGCTTGTGATACTGTCAGTCATGAGGGCTTATGGAAGATCATGGCAAAACTTAGTTGCCTGGAAAAGTTCATCTGTATTGTACATCAGTTTCATGGCAGCATGCTTATACGGGTTCTGGATAATGGACAATGCTCTTGAGCTTTCCCAGTCACCAATGGAGTGAAGCAGGGCATTGTGCTTGCTCCCATGCTTTTTAGCAGGATATTTTCAGTGATGTCAGACATCTTCAATGAGGATGAAAATGGCATCAAGGTCAACTACTGATGGTAAATTATTTGACTTGAAAGATTAAAGTGGAAAGAGAGCTGGTACGTGATTTTTTGTTCACAGATAATTGTGCACTCATTAGCCACTGAGGCTGAGATGCAACAAAGTAGGGATTGATTCTCTGTGGCTTGTGCTAATTTTGGCCTAACAATTAACAACAAGAAAAAAAAAATATAGGTTCTCCACCAGCTAGCACCATACCATCCATCAGTTACAGCAAATGGAGAAATACTGAATGCTATGGATAAATTCACTTACCTTGGCAGTATACTTTCCAGGGACATCCACATGACGATGAGGTTGACACATGCATTATCAGAGCTAGCTCATTGTTTGAGAGGCTCCAAAGGAAAGCATGGGAGAGAAGAGGTATTAGACTGCCTACCAACCTGAAGGTTTACAGAGCCACTATACTAACCTTATTGTTCTGTGCCTGTGAAACCAGGACAGCATACCAACATGCCAGGAAACTGAATAGGTTCCATTTGAATTGTCTTTGGAAGATTCTGAAGATCAACTGGCAAGATAAAGTGCTGGACACTGAAGTCCCTTCTTGAGCTAAACTGCTAAGCGTTCAAACTTTATTTCAGAGAGTGCAATTTCAACGGGCTGGCCACGCTGTTTAAATGCCAAATGTACGTTTGCCTAAAAGACTATTTTATGGAGAATTCACACAAGACAAGCGCTCACATGCAGGTCAGAAAATGTGACACAAAGACACTCAAGATCTCTCTGAAGAACTTTGGAATTGATTGTGTGGCATGGGAGACATTGGCAAAGGACTGCTTAGCACGGTGTGCCCGCATCAAAGAAGGCACTGTGCTCTATGAGCAACGCAGAATTGTAGTAGCTCAAAACAAACATGAGATGCACAAATTTAGAGACATCTCTACTCCAAATGTTCATGTGGACTATTTGTGCCCAACTTATAGTAGAGCCTTCCCAGTTTGTACTGGTCTGATCAACCAGTTGGGCGCACTGTACCTTGACCCCAATATAGTGATGTCATTTTGTTCCTCTTTGAGAATGAAGGACGACAACCAACAAACAGCCAACCAGATCAAGATATTTAAGATCATATTGTGTGAAAGGTTTACACAAGTGCACTTTAGAATTAAAATAGGATTATTAGAATTGATAAAATAGGGAATACAAATCAATCTGAAAATGTTTTCTATGAATGTACCTCAAATGTGTGGTCCAGTCTATAAACAGGTGATGAGTTCATGGCACTTACAACCTCAAGTACACCATTAAAGTTGTTCAGTTCTTGAAAGACTTGAAGAATCTCAATTATTCGACTCACCACAGCTACTCTTTCTTCTAGGTTTTCTGCTTCTACAATACACCTGAGTATAGAAAGAAGAGTTTTTGAATTTTTTACCCTATAAATTTGAACCTTTAGTACTAGAAAATTAAATTATAGGTTTAAGAATTACAGCTGTGGAAATATACAGTCTTAAACGACAGAGTAATAACAATTAGATGTAAACATATTAATTACTACATAATATAACAAAAGGAGTCATCAAATCCAAATACTTCAAGTATTGATCCATTGAAATTAATGGATCTAGGATTTCATTGATAAGAGTACTCTCTCCAATGGTACACATCACAATTCATGCATACATTATTCTGTGGTCTTTGCCACTTCCTACTATAAAGCTTCCATAAAGGATCTACCCAACTTGTTGGAGGCTTTCGTAGAAGTCTTTAAAACTTTGTTGGTACCAGTATATCCAATGCTTATGCCTTGCTTTTGTTAAAATTCCCTTTCTGATCATGTAATTCCTGAATGATACAGTTTATGTTACTTCTTACATGCAGCCCATCTCTGGTACTATCCTGTAGCTTAGTTAAGTCCACTAGGCATCTCCCCATGGTCCTTTGGTCATAATTTTGATTCTTTGAAGATCATGGCATTCTATGACTTCCTACCAAATAGCATCCCCAAAAGAAGATGGTTAAAAGATGAGTTGGGGGGAGGTAGGGGGTCAGGGAATGGCTTAACCTCATTAAAAATGCTAGAGAATTTTTTTCAAATGCAATCCAGCTTATTCTCTTCTTTTTGTTCATTGTCTACTTGTAGTGCCTACCAAGATAGATACACTAATAAACTAATCTCAGTTGGCTTCTCCAACCACTGACATGTTATAACTTGAGTAATATGCCTTCTTCATTCACTTTTTCACCCCTATATAGACTAGTAAAGCAATTTCTTTTGAGCAGTCATGAATTTTCTTGAGGAGGTTTTGTTGCTATAGAAAATAGTTTATTAAATCATTGCCTCTTTTTCTCATACAAATCCTGTTCTTCATCCACATCATGACCTCTAGTCCTTAAATGCCTCAGTTCTTTCCCAGGCAATTACTCCTGCACTAGCTATACTCTCCTCCTCTCCCTATCTTGATCCTTTGGTGAACCAGTTCAACTCTACGCTGTCCTCTTCTCTTGAGCTCCTTAACCCCTTATCATATTGCTGATCTTTCTTTGCTAAGGCTCAGCTTTGGATCACTCACTATCCACTGCCTTTGTTCCTATGCACATGCTGCTGAAAGTGGAGAAAATCATGAAATCAGGCAGATAATTAATAATAATAATAATAGTTATATTATCCAGAATACACCCCTTGCATGGGCCCTCACTTCTGCAAGGGAATTCTTTTACATTTCCCTAATTAACTAACTATTGCATTTATCCTCTTATCTCCTGTCACTTAGATGCTTTCTGCCACAACTCCTCCTTGACCCCTGTCTCACAAGAAAAGGTGAACCTTCTTGCGAAGGCTAACCCCTCTATTTGTTCAAGTCATCCCATTCAATCCCATTTCCTCCAGCAGATTGCCCCCTCTATCATCCTTACTCTCTTATATCAATTTCCCTTTGTCTACTGGTTGCTTTTCTACTGCCTACGAACATGCGAATGTCTCCCCTATACTTAAAAAAACCACTCACTTGATCCATCTATCCCTGTTAAATATTATCCCACTTCTCTTCTGCCTTTTGTGGTGTTTAGCCACAAAGGACAACTATAACACAAGCTTCCAATTCCTCTCCTCTTACTCTTTACAGTCTGGTTTCCAAATTCATCATTCAATAGAAACTGCAAAATCTGATGGCCTTTTCTCAAACCTCATCCTTGACACTACTGATCACCTCTTCTTGATACTCACTTCTCTGTAAGTTTTAAGGACACTACTCTCTCCTGGTTTTCCTTCTACTATTTCTTCTCAGTTTCTAGCTGTTCCTTTTCAGTCTCCTTTGTTGGATGTAAACTATGAATGTCTCCCAAAACTCAGTTCTGGGCCCTTTTCTCTATGCTATCATACTTGGTGATCTCATCAGCTTAGGTGGATTAAATTATCATCTTGATGTTGATGACTCTCAAATCTACTTATCTAGCCCTAACCTTGCTGCTGAACTCCAGTGTCCCATCTCTAATAGCCTTTCTGACATCTTAAACTGGATATCCAATAGACATTTTAAAAACTCAATTTGGCCAAAACCGAATTCATTATCTTTCCTTCCAGAATCTTCCACTTTCCAAGCTCTCCTATCACTGTCCAGGGTAACACCATTCTCCCAGTTTCCTAGGCTTACAACTTGGGTATCATTCTTGACTCCTCACTCTTGCCCTTGCTGTATTCCCCATCTAATCTGTTGCTAAGGCCCATTGATTTTTACCTTCATAGCATCACTTACATGTGCCTCCTTTTTTCCTATGATACTGTCACTACTCTGGTACAGGTTAGTACCACCTCATGTTTGGACTATTTCAATAGCCTGCTTGTTGGTCTCCCTGTCACAGGTCTCTCCCCATTCCAGTTCATCTTTTTCTTAGCTGTCAAAGTGGTCTTTCTTAAATGCAGGTCTGATCACATCACTTCTCCCCTTGCCCCCTCAATCAATAAACTGCAGCAGCTCCTTATTATCTCCAGGATCAACTATAAAATCTGTGCCTGGTATTCAAAGTTCTTCATAACATGCCTTCTTCCCCTCTTTCCAGTCTTCTTATATTTTACATTCCTTGCCTCCCCAATGTACTGTTCAACCCAATGACACTGGCCTTCTTGCTGTTCCTTGAACAAGACATGCCATCTCCTAACTCTGGGCATTTTTGCTGACTGTCCCCAATGCATGAAATGTTCTCTTTCCTCTCTTTGCCTCATGGCTTCTTTCAAGTCCAAGTTAAAATCCCAGCTTGTACAGGAAGCCTTTCCCAATCTCTTTTAATTCTGTGCCTTGTCTCTATTGATTATCTCTATTTATTTTGTATATATCTTGCTTGTACATTGTCTCCCGAATTAGATTGTGAGGTCCTTAAGATAAAAAACTGTCTTTCACCTTTCTTTGTATTCCTAGTGCTTAGCAAAGTGTCTGGAACAGAGTAGGCCCTTAATAAATGCTTACTGACTGCCGGTCACCAAGTATACTCTTAATATTTTAGAGGCTATTTGCATAAAAGATTTTTATAGAAATGACAAAGTAGACATATTTGTTGGTAGTTCTTGATATACCAGGTGAAATGACTTGCCCAGGGTAACACAGCTAGTAAGTGTGTGAGGCGGGATCTGAACTTAGGAAGAGGGATTTTCCTGAATCCAGGTCCAGCACTTTACCCATTGCACCATTTAGCTGGCTCTTTGGTATCTCGTCTTCTTCTAAATTCCTTGAAAATGAAAACCTTAATGCTTTAAGAAGTATTGCCTTTGCCATGACTTTCTTCTCTTTGTACTTCATCTGGCCTAGCCATTCTTCCGTTTTTTAAAGTACCACCTTCATCTACTCATACTGGGGAGTGATGTGTTAATGGATTTCTGTAGAAATGCTGGTAGCTTTATCTCTTTAGCTGAAAAGCTCTTCATTAGTGTCTATAATTTTATTTGTAAATGTTCCTAGATGAACTAGTTCAGTTGGATCTCATTCCAAACTTCATCCAGTCTTATTTCAATCTCCACTGCTCTTTGCTATTTTATGAGATTCTATTAAGAATTTTATGCACCGTTTCTTTCTCTAATGTTTCATCATCTAGTTTATATATTAAACTAGTGTTTCCTGTGGCTTCTATTGCCTTTACACTTGGTAAGGACACCAAGCATTTGTTGGTTGGAAGAAATTCTTTCAGAAGCAAAACTTTATTTCTGTTTCCTACTCTTCACCTAACTACTAAGCATTTTATGAAGATGATTTTGGCTCAATATAAAGAATGTATCAACTCTTTGGGTCTTTTTTGCTGTGGTTAATGCCATATATTTTGTTTAATTTTCTGTAGCATAGTGAAAATCTTTTCCTTTGTTCACTTCTGGGATTTTGGCACCAATAGTTCATCTGCACGGGTCAGGTTGAAGTTTTGTAATTGCTCACACCACCTTCTTTTCTTCTGTATGCTCTTGTCTAATTTGGTGTTTGTTTCTAACTTTGTTCTGTGTTTTGATTGCACATAAGCAACAGATACAATAACATCATAATTTCCAACTGTTAGGATAAAGTCAATTTCATTTGTTGTGATGCTATTCAGTACTCAGCATGCCCAGTATTTTCCAACTCTTCCAGGAATCAAATACTCATGATACATGTTCAAAACTTCTGATTAACCTACAGGTATCTGGCCTCTCTCTTTTTTTTTTTTAACCTTGTGCCATGTTTTTCAACATACATTTTACCATACTCTGTGTCCATCTTTGTATTGAAGTATAAATGTATATATTGACTGGGTTTGGAGAATTTTGTTGAGTTCTTCATAGAATTTCTCTATTTAATAATTTACAGTACATTTGGATATATAAGGGAAAATTATATTCTTCTTACTCTTTTTTGTTAATGCTTATCATGAGGACTAGAAGGTGAGATTACTTATTATGGTACAAAATGATCTTTTCTGCTACTTTTGCGTACATAACAAAACCAACTCTATAATTTCCTTTACCTCTCCAAGAAGAATCTGTGGTATATCCTATTTGGCCAATTTTCTTATATCTTTTTACTTATTATGACAAGAATGTTGCCACTGATATAGTACAACTCTTTAAGTAACATGATGATTCATTCATTGGGCAAGAATCTTGACATTCAAATATCAAAAGTTAATGTTCATAGACAATCTAACAAGTATGATTTTTAGTACCTTTTGCCTCATTCTATGCTAGTATCACTATAAAAGCCTAAGTAGTAGGCTACATGGGAATGAGACTCTCTGTCTAAACATGGTTATTACTTGGACAACAGACCGAATCTGTTCCTGAAATCACTCAAAGCACTTCTAGTTTGATAGAACCTACCAGAGCTTGTGTTCTACTTACAAAGCTTTCAAGAATACAGGTTCACCTCCATCTCAGGATAAGAGTTAT